CAACATCTAGTCCCGAGCGCATAGAGACCTCGTTTGTTTGCGCTATATAAATCCATCTATTATTATTATTATTTAATTGATTCGTTTCGAAACTGTTTTTCCAGGTGCTTGGCCGTCACACATTGCTGTGTTCTACCACATAATTGTACTGTACTGTACCTCTACTTTAAGTCATGCTTCGAAAGAAGCTGCTTAGTGAAATATAACCATTTCCATTTCATTTTATTTTCATTATGCATAATTGCTTTTAAGAGTAATTGGGCCACCTGTCATCATCTAAATGTTTTAAACCTGTTGAAATATTTAATTTTAAAATTATTGTGTATACTGGCAATTGTGTACCATCCTAGATCTCAATATAATGCTTCTTTAGCTATCTAGGTGCTCTTAGAATTAATATTACCTACTTTATTTCAACATGGAAAAGTTTGTATCACCCGATGGGTGTTTTTGAATAAAAAGCATGAAGGTATCTGCATTTTATTAACATCAAATTATGCAAGCCAAATATGTGCTCAAACTAATCCTTGAAACAAAAACTAATAATTGCTTGGTACACAAGTAAGCAAATAATTAGATAGTGTGTTCTTTGAAATAATAATTTAATGATAAAATATATTGTATTTTGATGGCTGTATCAATTTACTTTGAATTACTAACTACTAACTACTAAATCCTTTCCATCCACTGGGGCTCATAGGGCTGGAGCTTATCCCCAGTTTCTGTAGTGTGAAGCAGATGAGAGTTGTACAGCTCCCCCTGGACGGGACACTAGTCCATCGCAGGTTAGTCCCCAGCAGTTTGCTGGTAGGTACCCATTGATACAGCTGGGTGGACTGAAGCAATGTAGCTAAAGTGCCTTGCCCAAGGACACAAGCGAATCTGTAGAGACTCGAAACCCTGACCTTACGATTGAAGGCCCAAACCTCAACCGCTGCGCCAAACTGCCACTACTTTGAATTACCAGGACACTTTGTGAACCCCATGTATATTATGGTATTAATATTCCATGTTGCAGCCCATTATGTTCACCATAAACTCAGTCTATATGTTTGTAATAATTGTCAAGTAATGTTGGTCAAGTCCTTTTTTCCTTAGAATTATTTTTATTATTTTCTAAAAACAGATATTTTTTTAACTTAACACTACTGTATTTAAAGCAAAATGATTCTTTTAAAGTGAACATGTGCCAACTGCTTTTGTGATTTGATGATTCACATTATGACACTTAATCTGGTGCTTCCAACTGATCATAATGGGGGGTATAGTTGATGTAACCATCATTATCTTGTGATGGAGCATCTGATGTTCCCAACTCTTCGTAATGACTGGGGGTATTGTTGACAGTCTCCATGTAACCATCATTATCTTGTGATGGAGCACCTGGATGTTGTCCTGTGGATTCACCATGTTGCTGACGTATGCCACATGGTTCCATTGACATCCCTTTGTCACATTTTTGTTTATTTTTTCTCATGGTTATGTACAGTAATACCACATTCATTACAATACGTACCATACCAATGACAGATATTATGATCGTAACTAAATTGATCTCTTCTGATAAGATATTTTGATGGGATGTTTCACTATCAGTTAGCATGTGCACATTCTCACTTTTAGTTGCTTCAGAAGCCTCTGTTGGGATATTTTGGCAATAGCTTACAGGTGGTGTTGATGGTGAGGTAAGGTAACTTTTACCAGATTCGTCATTGGAGTTTGATGTGATTGGAACGTTCTCTGTAGTTGCTGGCACACCTACAGTTGACTGATTGTAAGTAAATGAGAAGCGTATGGTATTCCTACCTATACATATGCATTCCTGTGTTGTTACTGATCCTGGAATTGTAGCTACACAGGCAAACCGTTCACCTTGGTATAAAGACTCAATGGGTGCTCTATGTGCTAATGAATGGTAATTATGTGTTCTTACTGTGCTTTGAGTGCTTTCTGTCAGTACATTGCCGTTTTTGTCAATCCATTGCAGTGTTATTGGTGGATCACCTGGACCACTTAAACACAGCAATTGCAACACTTGTTGTTCAGTTTCATGGTCATAACACTTAAGTGGAGTAATGACATTCCTTACATTCAGGTAACTAGATTGTGTGCCTCTCGGGTTGGATTCAGACGTAAACTCAATTACATGGGTAATCTACTAATAACCTCGGGGTTAAATGTGACGGTCGTTCGGACGAGTGAAATAACAATCCATTTACCCATTAATTTGACGTAATTAAAAGTTACGTATTTTAAAAGCTTCTGCAAGGTCAGAATTCTGACTAGTTCGTGGCCTGAGTGACGACCCCGTGTCAAATTAGCAATGTTTTCGCGGCAATTTCAATACTTCATACACGAATTTACGCTATTTCTGCTTACTTTTTATACAATTTACTCATTTCCTTGCGATTATCCTTACAAATTGATGCCGAATTATGATTAACCCAGCCGACCTATCCTGACAACTTTTATATTGCTTTTCGACGACAGATTTGATCTAAACCAAGCTTTTCGACGAAGAAAGTACAGCAACGACAAAGACAATGACCAGCGTGGAAAGAAAGCTTAGGCAACAACGCGAAGAATCATGCAGCGTGACCCGGCGTTGTTTACAAATCTGAATGGTGAACTTGTGACCTGGGCCTTGTTACGAGTGATTAATTATGCCTTGAGGCTAGGTGTAATTGAAATATCCAGTAAAAAAGTGGGTTTTTGGGCCAGATGTTTTTCGAATTATACCCTGGGGCATTATTTAATTGCCGCACGCGACCGCTCAGTTGGTGGTACCCAGTTAAATTTTACTCGTCCGAATCGGCCCTAAGAGCACCAGCAATATATAAATTACAGGTGTATCTACCAATGTCATCATCTTAATTCCATGTACTGTCAACTTTGTGTAATGTTGCTGCTTCCAATAGATGACATTCCATAGAGACTTGATCAAATAATTTATCATTATCATTAATTCTTGTGGTGCTCCCCCTGAATGGCAATCTGTGTTCCCATGCTATCCAATGTTTAGATGTTGCCGACACTGGATCCAGCTGTACAGTGCAGGTAAAGGTAACAGATTCCGAGTCAACATCAGTAATAATGTACTCAGGAGAAACAACCACAGTTTGTGATGAAACATTGAGAATGGCAACTGTTGCTATGATTACACCAATATGGAAGTATAACATATTGCACTGAACTGAAAGGTAAAGGATGTAAGTGAATTGAAAAATCCAGTTTGTAACATCCTCATAAGGCTATTTATTTTAATTTAGTATAGTTTTTGCTTGTATTTTTACTTTTGATCCACAGCTTAGATTATTTATAATGGAATCCTGAACATTTTTTTCTCTGAAATGAAGTAGTGGAACAAAAAATATGGGTTGCGGTGAGAATTGAAACAGCAACTGCCTGAGTCTGTGGTGGCCCCAGAAATTTGATGGCCCCAGAAATTTGATGACAAGCGGTCCGACATGTCCATCAGTGAGGTCCAAACCCAGGGGTCAACTAGAGCCTCGATCAGGATCCCGGAATAAAAAAGTTTTTATGGCTCAAAATTGTGCTTTTTAGATCACAATATTAGGGATTAGCAATCAAAAATGTTTTGGACACTCAAATCTGTTGTACGTTTGTCGCAGCATCAGACGAAATGCCCTCCCTGCCCCCAAATGACGCCACCAGTGGCCTGTCCGACAGTGGGGTCTGAACCCAGGGGCTGAGTATAGCCTCAATCAGGGTCCATAGGGAGAGTTTTTATGGCTTAGTATGGCCCAAAATTGTGTTTTCAGACCACAATATTAATGATTTGCAATCACTAGCCTGACATTAATGTAAATTTAAACTAGTTGACCATTGATCTTTTCTATCTGAGACAGTTTCATTGCTATCTTAAAGCCAGAAGAAGTTGAGTCTAGAACTTTTATCACTCCAAATTATAAATATAGTACAATAAAGTAATGATTGTCTTGTAAATTAAGTATACTAAAATTACCTCTCACTGAGTTATAATAAGACAAAAAGTAGTGTACTGTAATCATAGATTTTACTTACTTGCTTATAGTATATTGATTGCTAATTCTGAAGAATACTTTACCCGTCTATAATCCTTCTGTATTTAAGCATGAACTCATACGCTATATTTATGTGTTTGGGTTCTCAGTAGTTCATAAAACTATAGGTTATTTCTTAATAAGGAAGTGTGGTGTGCAGTACTATCCCATTTCAAGTTATTCAATCAGTCCAATTGAATCAGAACAATAACATTCCAAATTATTTTGACAATACATGCATATATAAGGTCCATGTATCCAAGCTATACTGTAATAGGCCTATAGGCCTGGAATATTTAACTGTACTTGTAAGAAATTATTTATAGAACCATGTCGCAAAGATGTAATTGTGAAGAGCTTAGAATCCATGCATTGCAATGGATAGGATGATCTTTCACTAGAATACTACGTACATAATTTAATACTGCGTGGAATATCACAACAAAGTGTTACAAAAGAAATCTTGAATTGATAAAAAGAAAAATAAATTAGCTGTAAGAAGTTATAATTTCAACAATTTTAAATTTAAAGCAATAAATTCAGAACAAATTAAGGTATTCAATAGCAGGAAAAAGTTGGAGATTTGTGATGTTGCAGTGGTTTATTGGGTTTTGGCTTTGCTGTTGAGTAAAGCCGGGCACTCACTGCTTCGTACGACCTTCGCATAGTGACTCTAACTCCGCTCCTTCTGAACGCTAGACCACGCAACGCCGTCTGCTGATTGTCAGTGGTTGTCTGAACGGATCGTGATTAAAATTATCAGTTGCGCGCGTCATCGCATTGCATTCTTCGTAGAATTGCGGTGGTCGCCGACTGTCAGGCATAGTAAGTGTCCGGTTTAGGTCGTGTTAGGATTCATGATTTTTTTAAAAAGCACCCGAAGTTTTAAAAGATTTAATCATGCTTTGAGTATATAAATCAATAGAAGCCACTGTTTGGCTTTGATGTTGAAATTACCTGACTTATGCGTCAACGCGATCGTACTCATGAAATTGCAAAACTATCTAATTCTGAAAACGATTGTGACGCATACAAACAGCATCCGCAAATCTTTTTCTGAACCAATTCAGTAATGTACTCTGCCTAATATCACAGAAGATTTTGTTAGAAAACAAATCACATCAATGTCGGCTAGCAAAGCAACTGGTCCGGATGGCGTTAGTGTAAAAATGCTAAAGCTTGCGTCTCCGTACGTTATTAAATCGTTAACGCACGTATTGAACCTCTCAATAAAATGTGAACAGTATCCCTCAGATTGGAAACACGCATTGGTCACACCGATTATTTCAAAGATTTTGGAAAGATGGGTACACTCGGCTGTTTATTCATTCCTTAATGAAAATAATCTTATTCCTCGCTGCCAATCGGAGTTTTTCAACTGAAACAACATTGCATGACTTAACGAATGAATGTCTTCATGCTATGGAACGTGGTGAAATGACTGGTACTGTTTTCATTGATCTCCGTAAAGCATTTGACTCTGTAAACCATATAATTCTCCTAGATAAACTTCGGCATATGCATATGTCTGCTTCTGTCATTATGTGGTTTAAATCTTACCTTAGTGATCGGAGTCAATCTGTTAATATTGGTGGGAAATTGTCAAAACCTTTGCCATTAAACACTGGCGTGCCACAAGGAATGATTTTAGGACCACTGTTATTTATTATTTATACCAGTGATCTCCCACCTTGTATCCCTCTATTCTATTTATGCTGATGACTCAACATTAACCTGTTGCTCCTTCAGTGTTAAGGATATTGAAAATAAATTAAATGGAGCACTGGACATAGTTAACGATTGGGCCATTAGAAACAAACCTACAATTAATTCAAACAAGACTAAATCCATGCTCGTTGGATGCAAAAAAAAAATTTCCAACGTAGGCTTGTAATGTCACTCTTGCCCATACTGTAATTGTTAGAACGAAATCATGTAAGTGTCTTGGTGTCTTCTTTGACGAAACTTTGGACACCACATATTGAATTTGTCAAGAAAACAGTTTCATCCATTAAAGTTCTGTAGTTCACATGCAGAACTTATTATAGCCTCCTTCCATGCAACTTTTTTTTAAAATTTTATATATATA